TTTATGCCGTAATTTATAGAAATTTTTGCAATAATACGTAAAGATATGTAAAGCAAAAAATTATCATTAAAATTTTGGATTTCAGTCATTCATGGAAATTTTGCGATAATTTATGCAAATTTATGAGGTAATCTATAGACATTTTGACGATAGATTATAAAACTATGTAAAATACAAACGAGAACTAAAAAATTAACATCGGTAATTTATGGTAATTTATGAAAATTTATAAACATTTTGACGATAAATTTTTAACTAAAAAATTTAACGTTGGTAATTTATGGAAATTTTTGCAGTAATTTATGGAAATTTATGCGATAACTTACAAACATTTTAACGATAGTTTATTAAAGTATGTAAAACACAAATTAGACCTAAAAAATTTAACGTCGGTAATTTATGGAAATTTATTAGGTAATTTACTAATTTGATTTTTTTGAATTTAGTTCAATCAAATAATAATTTAACTAATTTACACAGTTAAACGCTCTTTATTAATTGTAAGTGTAAAAGGTGTCGAAAATTAAAATTTATTGTCCTGTAGCTTCGATAGGGTAGTGGTTAGAGTGTTAGGCTAGAAGTCCGTAGGTCGTAGGTTCGATTCTTCGCATTGTCAAATTTTATTTCGTTATAGGTTTGCGTTTATTCTGCGTTGTAAAGAATAATTTGATTAAAAGTTAAAAGTTGGGGATTAATACATGTTTTCAAATATAAATTAATTTTTTTTATTATATTAATATTGAATTTAAATAAATTTTCCACTACATTGGAAAATAGATGGTCTGGTCTGATTCAGGCCAGTGCCAGAAAATTTTCTACATGGGTACTAAACCAGTACTGCGCCAGTAACATCAAACCAGTTCGAAAATACCTTTTTTTCGAATTAATATATTGATAAGTAAAATTAATCAAATTTAAAGTATGAATAGTGATTTTTAAAGGGTTTTTCACGAGCTATAAGCTGGTGTTGAAACAAAAGTTGTCTTCTTTTAATTTGACCTTGAAATTCAAGATCAAATTCATAATTTCAATATACACTACCGTCCACGAGTATCAGGACAATTACACACGACTCTGTGAAAAAATATGACATCACTTTTTCAATCATATCTCAAAAATATAAGGATATACAAAAAAAATTAAATACGGTTATAAAGCTGATTAAATTTTGCATAAAATAAGCTGTCTTTGAAGTCGTTTCGTTAACTATTTTTTGAGTTGTAGAGTGAAGAAGAAATAAAAAAATTATCAAATTTTCTCATTTTGGTCACTTGACTTCAACTTTTTCAAAAATCTAGAAAAATTTAGATAACATTTTTTTAAAAACACAGCAATCTTTGTTAGAATTTCTGCTTTAAAATAAGCCTTCGAAAATTAAAATATGTTAATCCGTCTTTGATATATCTTTAAAAATGTGAAGCCGTTTTGCAACCGATTGGTGTATTGAAATTCAACTATATGACGATTTGATTTTGGCTTCGCGTGGCTGCAAGTGGGAGAGAAAATAGGGACGAATTCATGCGGGGGCACGATGAACGTTCGAGTTTCTTTATATTCTTAGTAAAACATCATTATTTATTATTCCTCAGCATAAATCCGTCCCTGTTTTCTTTTTATTTTGTAATAAATTAATTAGGATTTACGTAAAATAAAATTCTTGTTGATATTACAATAATAAAAAATTATTAAGATAAACAAGAAATCATCTCCTTTTACATACAAAATGTAAAAATTAAATAAAAAATGTTCTCTAGAAAACGCCAAAAAATATAAGGCATAAATACAGACGCATAAAAATAATGTTGAATATTTTATTTAAACTGTCAATCGTTGCAGATAACTAGAGTACATATTTTTAACGTAGAATTGTATAAATCTTTGTTAAAAAAACACATACTTTTAAATTTCGAATTTTTTAAAAAATAATTTCCACCTCTTGAAAGAGCAGGAAAAATCCTACCGAAAATATATAGGTCAAAATTTTTGTTACTATATAACAAATATGAAAAAATATAAATATAACAAGTCGTGTGGGGTGTGTGCATACTTTTTATAAAACCAAAAATTTCAATTCCCTTCGGGGTAGTAAGGGAGTGCTAAGGGGCCAAGGAGGGGACGGATTCATTTTTGGTGGTCTTTTTTAGACGTCTATTCGACGTCTAAGAAGTTGAGAGGAGATCTAGGTCTAGATTTGGTCTCAAAATGTTAAATATAGATGTCAAAGTTGTTTGACTTCAAAGATATTTAATATTTGTCATTCAGACGTTTCGTATAATTTTACACACATTTTATAACATTCAATATTTTATAAATTTCTTCAAGTAAGCGAAATAAAGAAAATTGTTGGATTAGTATTGATTCCGCTATACTGACGTACTCGGTATATTGACATTGTTGGGAAGCAAGTAAATGTACGATATTGCGTCTAATGGTAACTTTTACGAATGTCTGAAATTTTTGCAGGAAATAATCTAATCGTGTACTAGTGTCAGTCTAACAGACATATTTGCAATTACTTAGATATCGAATATATTGCCTAAATTGTCTATTGTACCTCTCATTTATTGATGCTGCGCACCAACAAGAATTAAGTTGTCTATTCGAAGTCCTAGATAGCGAATAGACATCTACTTAGCATCTAAGGTGTCGAATAGACCACTCGTCTTTTGCGAATGTGCACCTGAATTCTGCGCGGTAGACGTCTTGTGGCTTCCCATTTCGACGTCTATATAGATCTCGATTTAGATTCCACATAAATAGATGTTTTAGACGTCGATTAGATCTTTCATTTCTGACTGGGGGAGGGACGAAGTTTGTTTTGGTGGTCTTTTTCTGTTTTAGCAACCCAAAAATATAGGAATTACCCTACTCGACTTATTTTGAAAACTAAAATGCCAACCTCCTCACTCCCGTGAGGAGGCATAAGGGGGTGGTAGCGGGAGAATGGGCAATTACAAATTTTTTATAGTCATATTCGGTTTCAGCGACCCCAAAAATGTAGGGATATAGGGGTCTGTCCTCACAGGTCTCCTCAGAGGTGGGCAGGTTATTCTAAAATGTAACGCTGCAAACTTGGTGGGGAGTTGATCTAAATGAATTCCAGATTCCAAATTTTCAAACCGATAAATCGTACTTGATTCTCTTTTCGAATTATCTCTTATACAGACAGTCGGAAACTTGAAAAATTTATTATCTTAATGTGGAAGCTTTGATTCAGAAGACTGATGATTTTTCGTTACTAAAATTTTTTTACACAAAGTTTTTACAGATAATTATGGTTCCGAATTGTCTCTTCTTTAAGAAACTTTTTGATTTTTTGAATTTGGAGACGTCTGTCACATGTTAAAGTGCTACATATATGAATATATATATATAATTTCAGAAGCCTGCAAAAAAATAAAAATTTCCGTTGTCTGAGATCGAGAAGTCATTTACCGAAGCTTTTGGTGCGCTAAATCCGAATTAACATTTAACAAAAACCTCCCATCACGTCAAGATTTTGAGAAAATTGGGGGTAAAATACCCAAAAATCATTTCTTAGTAGTTTTTGAAAATTTCTACTAGGTAAATCCGACGTGCTAGAGACTTGTCATATGAGTTAAATTAAAGCTTAAACCCTCTGCTTTTCGAAAATATAGCGATATTGCCAACAACAAACTAAATTAACTGTCAAAATTGATTTTTCAACAGTTGTCCTGCATACAAATTGACCTAAATACAACTATTTTAAAAAATAATTGGATTCGCTAAGAATTTGTTGCTCAAGGGTTTTCGGGATCGCTGATTACGAATATGACGTTAGATTTTTAAAACTCAAAATGTTGGATCCAATATGGCGATCGACTATTAAAAATCGATTCAATTTGCCTGAAACTCGTTACTCGCGGGATTTCGGGGTCGCTGATTAGGAATTTGTCCACAGATTTTTTTATTTTGACATCATATTCGCAATCAGCGACCCCGAAACCCCTGAGTAACAAATTTTAAACCAATCCAATCATTTTTTAAAACAGTTGTATTTACAAAAACTAAAAAGTGATTTTTGGGACTTATAGGGGAGAGTGGGGCAAGACGGGGTACCGGCCCTATTTCACAAACGAATTAACCAATCGCGATTATATTTTACATAATACTGCACCGAGACGATAGTTTTTTGTTTACAAAACCTAAAAGCCATGAGAACAAATCTTTTACCTGTTTTACTAAAAAAACTGTTTTCGGCGATTTTCTTGTGAATTTTTCACTTTTTTTAGGAGGTGTTTAGTCAAGATGGGGAGATTTGCAATTTTTTTCATATTATTAATTTTATGATTTTTTAAGAAACAGATAACCTTTGTTCTCCTTTATTACTAAAGACTGATTCCCAAAGATGGTTATTAAATAAAATAATAAAATAGGTATTCGAAAATTTTTGTTTTTTTGCGCTTTAAACCTTAAGTACCCCGTCTTACCCACTCTCCCCTATCCCCACTTTTCTCAAAATCATAAACATAATTATTTATAAAATCTTGGTCTAAAAAATTTTTAATAACGAAAAATCAGCAGTCTTCTGAATCAAAGCTCCCACATTAAGATAATACATTTTTAAGTTTCTGAATATCTGTAAAAAAGATGATTCGAAAAGAGGATCAGGTACGATTTATCGGTTTAAAAATTTGGAATCTGGAAGTCATTTAGAACAACTCCCCACCAAGTTTGTAGCGTTACATTTTAGAATAATCTGCCCACCTCTGAGGAGACCTGTGTCCTCCATGTGTAACATAATAATTAAGTTAGTTTATAACTTAGTGAAAGTAGTAAAATTAATTCTTTATCCCACATGCACAAAAATGGCTCTTTTAGATAGCTGACGACAGGGAGTAAAGTCACTCATTTGTTCGACCATATGAAAATGGCGTCACAAAAATCACCGTAAACAAATGTCTGCCTTTCTACTTTTGTTGCTTAATATACTATTGTTTAGTAGTGTTTTTTAATTTTATAAACAATTCAATTTTCAGATTAATGGTCATGAAGTACCTACAACTGAACCTGCGCACATGGCAGTTTATGATAATGCTTCATTTTTTGAGCATAGTTGTAGAGCCAATTGTTCTAAAAGTTTCACAGAAAGTGGAGGAATGGTTATTCGTGCAGCTATTCCAATTTCTAAAGGTTAAAATATGTTAAAATAATAAAGTGAATAAAATCGAAAGTGATACGTTGTATTCCGTATAATATATTTAAATTTTTATTCACATTAACTATTCGCGATGAGCACGAAACATGTAAAACTTAGCGACTTCTTAGTGAAGTGTTGGAAGAAGTCTGCATTTGTTATTTTTTCAGTACATAATTTTTTTTAACTCGAAGTTTTATGTTTAGGGGCATATACTGTATGTGACAATCGATTAAGAAACTTTTTTTCAATACGTGCAAAGTACTTTTTTCCAAGTTAATTAATTGGAAAAGGTAAATGTTATGTTATCTACGAATAAAAATTTTTATTTATTTTTTCAAAATAGCGCCAATTTCTGGTTGCGAGACACAGCATGTCACCAGTTGTGAGACGGTAGCACCCACTTTCTATATTCTTTATAGGCCGTGTCAATAATTTCAACGGAATTCTGCTTTTCCATTGGCTGATTTTTTAGACAATATAGAAGGTAAGCAAACTTAGTGAAATTAGTGACTTTCCTGGCCACCAGGGTTCTCTAAAAAAATTATTTGACATTGCATTCAAACATTCCATCTATCAAAGATATAAATGCAATAAAAATATTAACCTTAAATCCAAATACTGCTTTCAAACAACACCAACATCCCCTTCGGTCACTTTTCTCTTTAGACCCAAGAAATTTTTGGAAAAACACCAACACTTAACTCAAAACTCGTAAACCTGAGCATATGAATTTTAATGATGAAGACATTCACAGTTTCCAAACCATCGTTGATTAGTAGGGGAGAGTGGGGCAAAGGCGCTATGCGGGGCAAAGACGTTTTTTAAAATATCTCCTTTATTTTCTGTCTATTCCAATTGGTATTAAAAATTAAGTTGCAATGCAATCAGACCAATTGATTAAAAAAAGAAAAACCTAAAAATATCAAATATTTTAAGAAATATAACAAAAAAATTGTTTTGAAAAAATAAAATGATAATTTTACTGAACAAACTTTTATTTTTTAAAACATAAGATTAAGTATTTAATTTTTAAAAACGTAACATGTAAATAAATTAAATATTTCTCTACACAACTGGCGTGGTGTTTTAGTTTAATTTTGTATCTAAATATTTTAAATTTAAAGTAAAAAAAGTTTGTTATGTGGGGCAAAGGCAATATTGAACATAATTTGGTTAAAAACAATTGAATATTCGAATTTTCTATGTATTAATTCACAATATAAGGTTAAAATCACTAAAAGTTTTTATTTTTTATTTAAATAGTTTAATTCTTTTAATAATATGTTGTTAACCTTATGTTTCGTAAATTTTATACTAATAAATAACACTTGTTAATTTTTTGAAGGCTTATAAATGCTTTCTTTTAGAAATATAAGCGAAAACGTCGCTGCCCCAGCGTGTGGGGCAAAGGCATTTTTTGCATTGTTTTTAAATTTCATTAAATAATGTATTTATAATTATAATATACTAAATAACAACTATTAAAATTTCTTGTTGATTAGTTTTAGAATAATGAAAAACAAAGACCGCATAAATTAATTGCTTAATTTAAAAAATATACATCGATAAATGTAAACCTAGCGCCTTTGCCCCACTCTCCCCTATAGTGACTTCTTCTTATCCATTTACAACCCTTCTACATTGCCGCAGAATGCTCTTACTAACATATCCACATTTTCTGTCCATTTTCAACCACAGAGTACTGATATAAATAATGCGATCAAATTTTCTTTTATCGTAGCAGCTCAAGAATACTGAAGACAGTTTCAAATCACTCTAAAAGGATGGAAGTGAAGGAAATATGAATGTAGAAAGTCACTTATATGGTGCAGGCATCGTAGATTAACAGTGGTTTAATTTTTCACGTTTTTACATTACAAAAGCTTAAATGCGTTTTTATCGAAATTACATTTTTCAAAACAGTGGACAGTCTACCTAGTACAGTTTTGATCGGATTGACGTACTAGAAACCTAAATCTATCACAGATTTAGAAAAAATTTGAATTTTTGTTTTAGATTAAACGGTAGGCAACAAATTGAAACTTTTTTGAAGCAGAAATATATTATCGAAAACTTAAAAAGTTACAAAATAAAGTCCTCAAAATCAAATTTTATTTACTTCATTCCTGTGTGTTAAAAAAATTCATGAAAAACAGATTCAGAAGACACCTCAAAGGTGTCACACCCGCTTAATATTTACCAACTTAGCACAATTCACTCAAATTCTTTTTAAATCTTATGATTTACGTTTGCAACTTGACATAATTTACACTGATTTTTCAAAGCTCTTTGACGGTTCCACAAACTTTTCTAACCGAAGTTTAAGTCGATGAACTTGGTTAAGTAATGTAATTAGACTGAGTTCACCAACTTAAACTCCGGTTAATACAGTTGTAGAGCCCTTAGATACGTTGGAAGTTTTATATTCTCTATTCGCCTAAAACATTTCAGTTCTGTAGACAACTGCCTAACCAGTTAGATAACTGACGAATTTTGATAAGCCAATAGACAAAAAAGATTTAAAATATTCCACAGTAACTCCAAGAACTAGTTCGTTAATATAACTTAAAAATAGTCACGTTTTTATTAATTAGTAGGGGAGAGTCTCCAGTTGTGAGACGGGTTTTATTTCTGACCCGTAAATTGTAAACGGGTAAACGAAATTGTAAATAAAATACACCGTTCGAAAGGTAACAGAAATACGCAACTTTTATTAAAAGAAAGTGTAGTGTCTCGATAAACTCAAAAAATTTTACGATACATTTTCCGAGCACATCGCTTTTGTAAAAAAAAATGTCTTAAGTTGTGAGACACTCATTAAAAATTGCTAAAATTTATTAAGTTTGACATAAAATGTTATGTTTAGTAGAAACAATTAAATATAGTAATAATATATATTATTATATACTAAATAATAATATTTATTCGCCAAAATATGACTATCAAATAAACACAATTTAATAGCTTCAACAAGAGCATTAAAATTTATTTCTTCTGAATCAATTGACTTTTTTCACTTGACATGCCCAAAAATACTAGAAAAAAATCAAAACAACATTTAAATAGTATGCCTGCAAAGTCGTATTTTTTATGCTGCCCAGATGGGTGTTGACACCGTCTCACAACTGGTGATATGCTGTGTCTCACACCCAGAAATTGGCGCTATTTTGAAAAAGGAAAATTAAATTATTTTCAACCGTAGATTGGAACAATGCATGATTGCATCACAAAATATAAGGAAAACACTAAAAGAAAATGCATTACATTTACCTTTTCCAATTAATTAACTCGGAAAAAAGTACTTAGCATTTAATGAAAAAACGCTGTTTAGTCGATTATCACACACAGTGTTGGTATTTAACAAAAACAGTTTATATATCCGCTTCGGCGTACACGAAAAAGTTGGCTCATATAAAAAGAAATGTTTTTATATAAACCAATCGGCTTTTTAATATTGCCTGTTAAAAAAATTGACTGTTTCACAACTGGAGGTGTCTCACAACTGGAGACACTCCCCTAATATATTCTTCTATAAATATACAAATTCCGAAAATTTCAGAATAAAAATAATTTAACTTTTATTTTATAAAAACAAATAATTCAGTGTGAAAAAAATAACAAAACACATGACGACTCTTGTAAAAAGAAAAATATGTTAGTGATTGCAACGTTTTTTAGGTCGTGCTCAACGTGAATGGAACTAGTTGTAAAATTATTTATCAAAATATTATACAAATTGTAGGTGAGCATTTAACTATTTGCTATACGGATCCCTTATGGGGAATTACAAGCAGAAGGCATCATTTATTACGCACAAAGTTCTTTGAATGCATGTGTACAAGATGCAAAGATCCAACGGAATTTAAAACCATGTTCAATGCTTTGAAGTGCAGCAAAGAGTAAGTTAAGTTATTTTAATCCTTAAAGTATACCTAAAGATTAATCCTTAAGCCATCCTTAAACCGCAAATACTAAATTTTTTTGTAATGTTGAATAACATTTCTAAAAACCCTATGCGACGGATGGCCCTATTCAACGTGCCAGTGGTTGGACCAACTAGTAAAATACTAATGGTTGGCAGTCCATTGGCGACGATGCGATGATTCGTCCAACAACTTATCCCAAAATCGGCCTAACTGTAAATAAATATTAATACCAACCAAAAAAATTATTGAAAAATTAAATTATTTAAACAATTAACACATTATTATCGGGACATACCTCTAACCGCAGGGCAAAGCGTGACCCAGAGTTTGGCCAATAAAAAATTTTAAATCTCTTAAACTAAGTTTCTCGAAATTTTGTCAACCAAAACTCTAAGTCGTTTAAACTATGCTTCGATGAGTTGTGCCAATCTTTGGGCCCACAGTTTGTCCGTTGGTTTGTTAAACTCTCTGGTTGGCTTAGAGATGCATTCAACGATACCTACAGTACGATAAATTAATACATTCGTTTTTATTATCGTTTTGCCCACCGAGAAGTTTTCCTATATCATCTTGTATCAGCAATCTTCTCGTTATTCATAAAAATTATTTAGTGGAGTCAAGATTCTTGGTTTTTTAACACAATTATTTAAAAATCCTATTTAATATTTGTGAACGAAAATATTATAATTTTTATTAAAATAGCATTTTTATTTTTGAAATGAAATGTTTGTTTCGAGATTAATAAATATTCTTAAATTGATTTAAACTTTCTCAGTAAATACATTCAAATAAAAAGAATAAAAAATAAAACTAAAATTAATTTTATACAAAACCGAAATTTCACTTAAAGCAAAATATGTCCTGAGAAAAATTAATACACTATTAAATACCAATTAAATATTATTCTTTATTATAAAGTTTGACTGTTTCTTTAAACATTTGTTTTTTCAAAAAATGAATAAATACACTACCGGTCAAAATTGAGAGACCACCTATTTTCAAGTGATTGAAAAACATTTTATAACATAAAATGTATAAAAACTAAAATTTTTTCTTTTTATTTTTTTAAAGATGGTGAAATTTTTAAAAGAACAAGATCTTTTAGAAGTCATTTGGCCAATATTTTATTTAGATACACTACCGTCCGTGAGTATCAGGACGCCCCTTTTTTCATGAGTGGAAGAATACTTAAAACGTAGAAAATAAGAATGACAAAAATTTTTCGTATTTTTTTCCTGAAAGCTAATGAAATTATGAAAAGACTGACACCTGATCGAAGAATTTTTGTTGACTATTCTGTCAGATACAGAAAAAATACTGGATTTTGCATGTTTTTCGTAATTTTTTAATTTCTCGAAAACTAATTAACTTTTTTTAGCGTTCTTGGTCTTGTTTTAATCTCTATTCAATGTAGAATCTAAATTAATTAATGGTATTGTGATATACATTTTTACAAAAAAATTTGAAACTGTAAAAGTTGGATAAAAAAATTTTGAAAAACAGATTGACACTTTTTCAACAAAAATTTTTTTTTTTAATTCAATAATTAAGTAATTAAAAAGTTTTTTTGAATTTTAGTATATCTATTTAATGAACATATTTTACATTTACCTTTTTGACACTTTAATATTCATGATAATTTTTTAAATTTTTTTAATCCTACTTTTACGGTATCAAATTTTTTTGGAAAAATTTATTTCACAATACCAGTTAATAATTTAGATTCTACATTAAAAAGAGATTAAAACAAGATCAAGAGCGCTAATAAAAGTTAATTACTTTTCGAGAAATTAAAAAATTACGAAAAGCATGCAAAATCCAGTATTTTTTCTGTATCTGACAGAATAGTCAACGAAAATGCTTCGATCAGGTGTCAGTCTTTTCATAATTTTATTAGCTTTCAGGAAAAAAATACGAAAAATTTTTGTCATTCTTATTTTCTACGTTTTAAGCATTATTCCACTCATGAAAAAAGGGGCGTCCTGATACTCACGGACGGTAGTGTATTTTTAAAAAATCGTCATTTTCAATGTTTTACAAAAATTTGAATAACTTCTAAAATAATGAACGCTTTTTAATGATCTTAGGCTTATTTTAAAGGTCATTTGCTACACTATAAGAATTACTTATAGGAATTAACGTGTAATTTTTTTCTTAGAAAATGCAGGCCGTCAAACTTGGACAAAAAATCTAAAAAATTTGAAACAATTTGTCTGTACTAAAAACTATTCTAGAAAACATATGAAACATCTTATGGTGTAGATTTTTCAAGAAAATTTAATTTAAAAAATACGTTTGAATTTTAAAAATTATTTTTCTGTTAAGGGGTTACGCCACCCTGAAATTTTCAAAAAAATTTATTTATTTTTTTTGCTTAATTTCAAAGTTTATATTCTAACGAATATTTTGAGATGTCGCCGAAGACAATGTCTCACTAATTACAAAAGTTATGGTCATTAGAAGTCAGCGCGGTGGGGACGCGCCGAGAGCTGCTGGAAGCAGCGACTTTCTATTTTCGAATGGTCTAGGGGGCCCTTTCATGATTTAGGAAGGGTCCTTTTCATTGTATCCCTTCCATTCTTAAATAAAAAAAATTATGGCCCAGGAATTGCTGATTAAATAGTAAATTGAAAAATTTTCAAGTTATAATACACTAAAGTTCATTTTTTTCTTCTTTTGCGTTTTTCTCGAAACCACAATTTTCGAGACGGTGTACACGATAACTCAAAAACTATTCAATCGATTGACTTGAAAATTAATATACATCTTCCTAAATAGATTTTCCACAGAGTGACGTGGGATTTTTTTGATTGAATAATTTGAAAATTTTTTATCCAATTTTTTATACGGTAATTTTAGCCAAAAAAAAATGTCAATTTTTGAAGTGCTTCCATTTGCGTAAAAAATTTTTTTTTTTAAAATGGCCTTGTCACTCTGTTCAAAATTTATCACTTTTTAAGAAAAATATTGTTTTACTTGTTTCTGACAAAAATTGAACTGCCAATCATGTACACCATCAAGGAGTGCTCCGGAAAAATTGATCCACGCCAATAGTTATATCTCCGCCATTTTTAATTAAAAACAATTTTTTTTTAAATATTTATAAAGCTCAATATATGTACTAAAGCATCAATAAATGTAAAGAAGTCCTACCTGAAACAGTTTTTTTAAAAAAATTCCTAAAAAACCATCCGATTTTCATGCGTTCAGGGTGGCGTAACCCCTTAATAAGAATTTTTTAAATTTTCTGAATTTTTTTGTCTAAGTTTGACGGTCTGCATTTTCTTAGAAAAAATTACACGTTAATGTCTATAAGTAATTCTTATAGTGTATCAAATGACCTTTAAAATAAGCCTAAGACCATTAAAAAGCGTTTATTATTTTCGAAGTTATTCAAATTTTTGTAAAACATTGAAAATAGCGACTTTTTAAAAATATCTAAATGAATTATTGTCTAAACGACTTCTAAAATATCTTGTTCTTTTCAAAATTTTATCATCTTTCAAAGAATGAACAGAAAAAAATTTTAATTTCAATAAATTTTATGTTTTAAAACGTTTTTCATTCCGCTGAAAATGGGTGGTCTCTCAATTTTGACCGGTAGTGTATTAATAGTTTCTTCGTCGCTAGATTCCAATTCTTCAGTTGCATGGTCATAATCAGATATAATTATTTCTCTTCCATCAATATTTTTTTAAAGTGGGATATAATATTCTTGTTTATACATTTTTTAAAATTGTGCCATAGAGGACTTTAGCATTTCTTTATTCACTCCATTTTATGAAAGGTTTCAACTTTGAATCTGGAATCCAAAACAACACAGTAATACAATAGTTCAAATTGCATTTTCTGTAACGTTTAAGTAATTTTTCATGAGCTGCAGAAAGTATGTTGCGCATTATTTCATCAAGAAAACTTTTCTCGGACATTTCATCAATTTTTTTAATCCCTTTCTCTATTGTCGTTGAGGAAAGGAGTTGGAAGTGCAACGATGTTTTGGTACAAAAACTTAGGTATGAAAAGAAATAAATAAGGGACCGTCCATAAATTACGTAACACGTTTTTAGTGAAATTTTGAACCCCCCCTCCCCCTATGTAACAAGTTGTAACAAAATCGTTTTACACCCCCCCCCTCCTTATCAATGTTACGTAATTTTTAAAAATATTTTTTTACTAACGTTTTTCGAAACAAATTTGTTTATTACTGTTTTTTTAGTATTTATATCGTACAATAGCAATACAGAATTAAGTTAAATATAAAAAACATTTAGAGGAATAATTTTATTAATCATACTGAACAACCAAAAATATAACATTGATTTTTTAACAATAAAAATTGTATATTATTCCCAAGAATCGGTTCGCGAAATGATTCGATTTTTACTTATATTGAAGTGGCGGCAAGGGACAGCTTTTCAAAAATTTATCCATTATAAAGAGATTAAGTTCCTTATTAATATTACGTAACAATGATGATTGACCCCCCCCCCTCCCATGTAACATATGATAACATTTTCTCGAACCCCCCCTCCCCCCTAAACGTGTTACGTAATTTATGGACAGCCCCTAAAGGGTCTAAGGTACATTAGTCTTTGCCTGACTACAGACGCGAACGGTTACGAATACTTTCTATGAATGTACTCATGTTTTCTCATTTTACTAAACATATTACCATAAATATTATATTGTATATAATTGATTGCCTACTTTATTTAACTTCCTGAATATACATTACCTGTGATAGGGACAATTCAACAAGAACATATCTCATTCTCGCTTGAAAAACAATACAAAATTGAAACGATGTAAAACAATGTTTGAAAAATTTACTTGACCAAGACAATTAGAATTCTTGTATTCTCGTACACCTCTAATCCCAATGGTGTTTTAACCCGCCAAGAATTTACTAACATTACATTTAATTAAATAAATAATAATATTTTTCAATTTTAATAGAAAGATAAAAAATAATTTTTACAGAGAATGCAGTGGTTGTATGCTCCCAAGAACATTCATAGTTAAGAATGAAGAATGCTCAGATTACATATGCAATATTTGTCATTTTTCTATCTCATGGGATGAAGCAGAGCAAATTACTGAAAAAATAGGAATAGACCTTTCACAAATGAAAAAGGGAGATATTCAAGCTTGTAAAACTTTCATTCAACGACACTCTAAGACTCTTCATGAAAATCATTTTTATATGATAGATGTGAAACTTGCATTATCACATTTAATTGGACAACAAACAATTTTGCCAAATACTGAAATTGAACTTATAAGTGAAAAGATTATGCTTTGTAAAAAGCTTAACGAATTGTTTGAAATTCTAGTACCAGGTAAAAATTCATTGTAAATATAAATATTAAGATTAATTTTTATCTACATTCATGTTTATTAAAAAATTATATAAAATTATCTCACACGTACAGCACACACTGTCCTGAAACTTGGCAGTGTCTTGCCCAGCGAAGTTAGAAACATTGAGTGGCGATGTTCGTGGAAGAATGTGTGGTTGTTTAAATGTCCACATAAAAGGAATATTGAATATCAACCTTAAGCGAAAATAATTCTGCAAATATTGACTAGCGATGTTCAGGCAATATTCAGACAATATTGGTTTATACGTTTATATTAGGCAGATGGACTTTTAATCATTTCTCGAATATTGCATGCAATATTCATACAATATTGCCTAAACATCGCAAGTCAATATTTGCAGAATTATTTTCGCTTAAGGTTGATATTCAATATTCCTTTTATGTGGACATTTAAACAACCACACATTCTTCCATGAACATCGCCACTCAATGTTTCTAACCTCGCTGTGCGAAGTCCTGTCAAATTTCAGGAAATCTTCGGTGCTATTTGGGATATAATTTCTAGCCTCGTGGCTTTATATTTTAAAGATGTAATTTTTCTTTTAGCTGAAAATCGTTTAAGAGGTCTAAATCTATTTGAAATGCATGCGGCAATTGCCGAATTTGGAAGACGACAAGATCAGTGTGAACTAAAAACAATTTTAATAGTAATGTATAATAAATTTATAATTAACACAAATCAACATGAAAAAATGCATTTTAATATAAGGTATTGCTTAAAATATTTTTATTCACAGATATGAGAAAATATAAAAAATATGCTTTTGCAGCAAAAAATATGCTTTTACGATATTTCGGAAATTTACGAATTTAAATAGATTATTTTTAAAGCAAAATAATTTTGTTTGTATAATTTCTATTGACTACAACTATAATATAAGCGGAAAAAAGTGACAAAAGGTCAAAAGTGAACTCTATTACTCTTTCCTATAAAATATTTTTACTATAACTGATTACATACAAAATTTGTTTTACAATTACGACGGGAAACATGTGGAGCCCATGGCTTGTTTTGATTGCAAATGGGACAGGCAAATTGGTTTTTTCAAATTACTTATTATTACAGTAAAAGCAAAAAATTTACAAAAATTGATAATACTACTACAAGAGCAATCTTTAAAAAAGAAAGGGATATTTTCAATATATTTTGCTGCATTACAAATAGAGAAAACATAATATGAATTTTATTATTAATTGTTATATATCTCAAAGAAATCTATACATACTTTCTTTTTTCAATCGCGAAAGAATATATATATATATATATAAGGTTTTTATTGAAATAATATGAACTTGTATACTTTTTTATGGACGATTTGCATGTAACTGTCTAATTTAGTGGCGTCACAAAAAACAAGCATTTAAAATTAACCTTCCCGCTACCAGGGGCTTCCCGGAGTAACCAGCAGTATTAAATATTGTAATAAGTCTACTCGAGTTTTTACCAATTTATAAAGTGACTATACGTCCCGGATTGTGCGGGACTGTCCCGGATTTTCCCCCTTTGTCCCGCAAAGGCTAGCGTCTCGCAAAACGTCCCGCATTTGACATAAAATGTCCTGCATATCCCGGAAGATAGTTAAGAATATCCTGCATCTACAGGTTAGCACAGTAGCGTATAAGTGTGAGAGAGATAGACTTCGTGATATTTTAAGAAAAATTCAATCGTCAGAAAAATATGTGATTTAATGTTACAAAATAAGCATAACATAAATATGTAAATGTCATAAGACGCGCACTGTTTCAATCCACTCCAATTTACTCCTTCAAATTCCCTGTTTCTTTTTTCTTGTGGCAAATTACCTTTTTTTTATGATATAAATAAGCGGGCGTCCCGCATTGACACTATTTTCTTATGGTCACTTTACCAATTTAATCGCAGATTTGAAGTTATTAGTATGTTGTCAGGTTATGTTGTAAGATAATCGTATAACTTATGAGGTTACACAATATAACTGTGGTGGACCTAATAAGGTGAACTCAAAACTTTCACCATTTCTCCTGTAGAATAGACTACAGGAGTATTTGAAATGAAATTTAATTATTTTTGAATTGGTTTTTTAGAATGTCAAAAGGTTAAATTGGATTAATAGAAAACCTGTTAACTGGTTTTATTATTCATACAGTACGGATTTGCCCATGGCGCCAGGACATTTTGACTCGACTGGACACGACGTGGTGACGCCATTTTATGTTTTCTATATAATTGTTCTGTTGTCAAAGTGTTTCTTACCTAAATAAAATGAACAACAATAAATTTTACAAGATACATTAGACGTTTCTATACATTTGTTATGAAAAGCCAAATGCGATGTATTTATTCATTTATTCAGTCCCAATCATGAAAAAAATTGCAGTCAGACATTAAAAAGGCAACAAAGAATTTATTCAAAAATTAATTATCTTGAAATTTAACAGTTACGTGCAAATAACCAATATTACACAATTATGTAGTTCAAGTTGGGTGGTGAAATCCAATATGGCTGTTTTGATGGAGGACAAGCAATGCATTGCAGTCAATGGAACGAAATCAGTTTTTCTACAGTAACTTTTTAAAAATGCATTTTTGAACCAAAGTGTAATGACAATAAAAATTAATTTTTAATTATATTGTTTTTAAAAATAGCTTTCGATAAATAAAGAATAATAATTTGCCATTACACTTTGGTTCAAAAATGCATTTTTAAAAGTTTTTTTAAAAAAACTGATCTCTCCTTTCATAAAAGAAAAAAGACGAGATTCTTTAAAAAGATTATCGTTTTTTTCAAAGCGATTTCTAGATCGAATGCAACATTAATTGATTACACAGGTCAACAAAAAAAGACTAACATTTTTTTATGAGATGTAGGAATGGTTTCCGATGTATTTTTGGACGCTGAACACGATCCCGACTTCCAAAATTGCCCATCACGTCAGGATTTTGAAAAAAGTGGGGGTAAAGACCCCAAAAACGCTTTTTTGAGGATTTTCAACATTTTTTTTTCTCTTTAACCTGACGTGCTAGAGACTTCCACAAGGTCTTAAATTAAAGCTTGTAATGTGCACTACAAGACCCATATCCATAAAATAAAAAAAATTAAGATTTTTTTTTAAAAATGGGGTTGAAGACACTAAAAAATGTGTGTTTTTGGATTGCTTTAATAGACTTCTTGCAATTGCTTGGATTCGATTGAAAATGGCGAATTCGTAATCAGCGATCCCAAAAACCCTGAAGTAACAAACTTTTAAGCGAATCCAAGAAATTCTTAATTTTTATATCTGCCATCTTGGTTCCGACATTTTAAATTTTTAAAAACTAATTTTGGATTCGTAATCTACGACTCCAAAAACCCCGAGTAACAAATTTTAAGCGAATCCAAGCAATAGCATGAAGTCTATTAAAGCAATCGAAAAACCCACCTTTTTGGTGCCTTCAACCCCATTTTTTAAAAAAACTTCTAATTTTTTTTTATTTTATTGATATGGGTCTTCTAGTGCACATTACAAGCTTTAATTTAAGACCTTGTGGAAGTCTCTAGCACGTCAGGTTAAAGAGAAAAAAAATGTTGAAAATCCTCAAAAAAGCGTTTTTGGGGTCTTTACCCCCACTTTTCTCAAGATCCTGACGTGATGGGCAATTTTGGAAGTCGGAATCGTGTTCAGCGTCCAAAAATACATCGGAAACCATTCCGATATCTCATAAAAAAAAGTTAGTCTTTTTTTGTTGACCTGTGTTATACTTGTTTTCCAGTAAAACAGCTGGAACAGATTTCCTCCACTAAACTTGAACTACCTAATTATATCTGTTAGCCAAGAATTAATTGTAAGTCTAATAAAAATTAATTGCCATGTTAAAAAATATTGTAAATAAAATTGTTTTAATGTTTAGGAATCGAGAAGAGTACTGACGGAAGCATACAAATTTCTACGTTATGAGCCAAATATACTTCCTGAAGGAAAAATTGCCATACAGGCTAGAAGTAATATACTTGAGATGGACGTGATTATTAAAGCACTGTGTAAAGCCTCAATTTCTCCTATGTAAATAAAATATAGACTATAGTAACAAAATTAATTGACAAAAGAAATAAATATGATAAAAAAATTGCTATAAAAATTTATTATAAGAATTCACTGAACTTTTTAATAGCATGGCATTATTTTAGGACTCTAGATTTATTAAGTGTTCATTAATAAATAGTTTACTTGATGTCTAACAGCTGTATGTTCAAAATCTCATTTTCAAACGAAGAATTTGTTCCAATTGTTTCAAACACATATTGCAATTTCTCATCTTTCTACTTATAACCTACTATATTTCTAATATTAATATCCCAGGTGAAAATATTTCGTAGGATTTTTATTTAAAATTTATGCGAATTTCATTTAGCGTTTTAAAACGTTTATTATAGTATGAATATTGGTACGAATTGCAGATGATATTTTTCCCTTTTGCATGGAAATTCATATGGGTACATTATGTAAACTACCAAAATTTTCATTACACTACACTTAATAGCTTACCAGGCAAGTTTCCTATGGTGGGACATTTGAAGCTTGCTGCAAGATAGTGTAATATCTTAATATCAATTTTTAAAGCAAATGTCACTTGCAATCAAGTTATATTGACAAAATATAGTAAATTATTGTGTTCTTTCGAAGCAAGAATTAAGTACCAATTTGGGAATGCTTATGTTATGATAGACCAAATTTGTGGAAAGACGTATACCAATTAGTGCACTTTCAAATATTTTAGTCAATTTATTGGAATAATTTAATATTATTAATTTTTAATAATTTTTTGCATTTTGCCAATACTGGGAGACTAATGGCAGCCAATATTAGGCCATTAATGTCTGCCAAGATCCGGCTGTAGACGTTCAACCACGGTTAACACCTCAAAAGTCGGACCATTACTATTGTCTGACAAACTTGGCACCAACTTTGCCAATAAAGAGGCATTATTGGGCCGTTTTTAATTTTGCACTTGGGTGAAGTTTGCTTTTACGGTGAACTTAAAAGTTCCTCCCTGATGGTAAGCTTACATGTAAAGGTTAAGGTAAACTTACAAGCAAAGGTTGAAGTAAACTTACAAGCAAAAGATAAGGTCAACTTACTAGCAGAGGTTGTAGTGAAGAGTCAGAACGCTACCTGGCCCTCTTGCACATGACAGCCGGATATTTCAGAATTCATTAATTCACATGTAATGCCCAACACGTCGCTTACGCCGTGAGTTTTTATTTTTGTTTTAATCGCGAGTGTAATCAATAAATGAATTAAATCAACATCAATTATCGTTTTAAAATGTAAGTATGTTATTGGTTTATTGTATTATATTTCATTAAATTTGATTATTTTTAGAAATGATCTTTTATTGATATATCTTTCAAGTGATGCAGTTTAACCTATAAGTAATTCGGTTGAATAAACGTACGTTGAATAAACGTACATTCTCATAAATATTTTGTCATTTCTTGCATTATTGGTATTTTTTCATTTAGAAAGTTGCATTTTAATAATATTCTGTGTTAATATATAAATTAAAATTATTAATTAAGCATGTCGATTAACACGTGTTGTCACTTTTATGTTACAAGTTAGGTTAGAACTTGATTGCTGTGTGTTAGTAAATGTTTTGATGTTTTTATTTATACAATTAAGTGGAATTAGAAAAACTTTGGACTAAATATTGAGGTGTATAATTTGTTTTAAGCGTGTGTAGTTTTTTAACTGTTACTTAAATTTATTTAATGTGTGATTAATATGTTGAAAATTCTTGTTTCATCGGCATTACATTTGCTTATTATTCAGTCATTTTGGTAATGTTTATGTTGTAGCTAGTTGTTTAATGACTAATTTCTCACTAACATTTCAAGCAAGTCGAGAAAAACAATTTTCGGCAAAAATATAAATTTCGTGGTTGAAAATGAAGAAGAAGTTTCTTTTGCAGAAAATTCTGTAAATGGTGTTGTCGGTAATTTGCATTCCAACATTCAGGAAAACGTACAGGGTAAAAAAGATATTAATGAAAAATACAATATGCGACTCTTTCAACATTTCATAATTTTTAAATTTATTAGAATATTTGATTAAAAATGTTTCTCATAGTTTCGTCGGTCAAACAAATTGTTTTTTAAACTAAATATAAAATTTTTGATATTCTTGCAGATGAATTTCTATTCGTAGAAAACGATTTATGGGTGATTCTCCAAAAAACCTCATTTTGCATGTAATCAAGATTTTCTAAATAATTATAATCATTTGGGAAAATACCAAGTCATATTTCCCTATTTTATCACTTTTTCTAAATGTTCTGCAAGAAAAAGTTGTAAAATTTTATTGTTTAATACATTTTTAAAATATTTTACCACCTCAAAATCGATTTTCTAACCTGTCATCTAAGTGCTTTTCATTTTTTCAATAGGTAAAACAATTATTTAAAACATGAAAATTGGTACTTTATTAATTTTTTCTAAAAGTTATGATATTTAAGAATAATTTTCAAAAATATAAATAAAATATGTCGTGTAGTTTTTTTAAATATAGAAAATGAAATTTGTCATGTAGTACCGCGTCATTCCTCTCACTCGTTTAATATTATCCAATATTTTTGCTGTGGGTAGAGATATTGATTAATTATTGTGATCAATATTTAAATTAACATCTCTAATATTAATTTCTTAAGTTACTTTTTAAAAAATGTTATTATTTTGCGTTAAAAAAATTAAAATTGAGACATAAGCAGAGATTCACAACCTAAAGCGTCATTCCTCTCACCCCTAATAAAAACAATATTAATATATATAAACTGATCGCAAATTTTTTTCACATAAAGTTATCCTTTATAAACATGATAGGGCATTCTAAGCTGGAGGAAAATTATTTGTCAATTAAATAAAATTAAAAAATGTTGAAATCGTCATTCCTCTCACCCGTCATTCCTCTCACTTTTTTGAATAAAAATTAAAAATTGATATGATTGTCGGTTGTTTACAAACTGCCAGTGAAAAGTGAACCTAAAATGTATGAAAAATAATTTTTGACAATTGTTTAAAGAGATTTTTGATAACTGTAAGTATTTCAAAATCTATAAAATTTATAGATAATATTAATAAATTATAATTTTTAAATAATTTTTTGTAAATAGAAAAATATATATAATAAAAAACGCCGGCTCCAAATTTTAACCTCTTAATTTTTTTGTAAATTTTAATTTAAAATATATACTTTAAAAGCTAAAAGTTAGCATGATCATGCTATAGAGGTGGTAGATTTTTGAAAGCTCAATATAATTGACTGCATTAATCCATAAATAATAATTTTTTTTCTTTTCTGTTTGTAACTCACAAAAAGGAGTATTTCGGGAGAATCACCCTTATATCATTTTTTAAATTCTACCTTGGAAGGAAAGCTCGTATTAGGCAAATACAAGAACACAAAAGTTCTTGATTACCCACGTCTTAAAAATTTAATAATTTTAAACGAACTAAACGAGGATCCACTTAATTATAAGTAAGTTTAGTTGACATCTTCATTTAAAAAAATAATTTCTTCAAAGATTTCATTTTTACTAGAATACAACCAAAAACATTCGCGAAACTAAGAGACCAAGCGACAGAGTTATTTCCCACATGCCTAAATTTTCCGCTTGGACTGACGTTGGTTAGACTTATTTTTCAATGCTACAATTTATATTTGGGTATTATTCGTAAGAAAACATATTTGATAATTTAAATAATTTGACACTTATATTACAGCTGGAACAAGATTTCCTGAAGCTTATCTCGGAGGCGGCACCAGAATCGACTGAGGAGTCATTAAATTACAAAGTATTATTTGGAACAAGGTGGCCTGCATTAGCCAAAAAAATTCTTGTGCATTCAAAAAAGTCGAAAGCAGCTGATGTAAAAAAATTCTTTGAAGACCACAAAAATTTAATTACTGCAGGTTGGCATTATAGTTTATACTTATTTATCTTCTTTTATTCACTAAATTTCAATCAATAAAAATGTTTAATAATTAGTGACAGAGTTTTTCCTTTTAATTAGTAAACTTTACTATTAAATTAGTAGTTTACTCTTTATTAGTAAAATTTACTAATTATATATATATATATATATAAATTTATTTATTCTTATATTAAATGATAAGTAATGTTAATTTGATTAGTTTCAAATAATTAAATGTTAAAAACATTTTTCAGGTACGCATGATGATTTAATAGCACTTTTGCTATTGCCTTTAATCATCAAAGCCTCAAAAAAGGTAAAAGAAGACGCTGTATCAAGACCTTTAACTAAGCCGGAAATTTCCAAATGCTTTATTCTGCAAATACAGGTGAAGTACAATAACTTTAACCTTTTATTGCAGTAGAATAATATTATTATGCTTAACTGTGATATAAGACTCATTATCCAACTATTATTTTTTAAACTACCTTCTATTTCCAGAATTGTGAACGTCTGATCGAAGACACAACCGAATTTGAGGCCTGGGTAACAAAATTTGGGCAAGAAACTTATCCGTACGTGATTTTCTTGGGCGATCTGAAAAATGTGCAAGTGCAATTAATTATAAACAAACAGAGGTATTCGTTCGACGATCCATTAAAGGCTGTAGAAAGCTGCTACAAAAGTCTCACAGCGTTCCATGCATTTCCCTTTCTTTGCGATTTCGTGTGGTCCTTCATTGATAAGGCAGTTTATGAATTAAATTTAAGAAAAACTAGTGCGTTCGTTACCAAATTACTAACCGATTTAAACAAAATTGAAATTTAATTGTTTTTAAAATTGTAATTTTATTTCGAAATTAAAATGGATTTAATTTACATGATAAGTCAAATTTTAACGTTCGTTTTAATGCTTTACGGCGATCCAAATTTACCGCAAAAGGTAGTAGATGATGTTATTTCGTTCATACAAGAGTTTTTAATTTCAACTTTTTTGCCTTCATTAAAAAACGATCTCTTAACTGTATTAAAAAATGAAAATATTTCAAAAGCTACATTGGTAGAATTGAATCGCTATTTTGATCGATATAGTTCAGTATTTAATAATGTGGATACTGAAACGAAACGGTTTCAGCTTTTGAGAAACAAAGGTTACATTGACTTCCAAGAATTTACAATTGGTACTACTTTTAGAGAAGAAATTGTAGATAATGATATCGTTCTAGTACCAGAGAATTTAACTGGAGTATATATTCCATTACGTGAAAGCTTCAAATTTCTGGGGAATGCGTTTTGAATCTTATCACCAACCCATAAAACAAGCAGCTCAATGCACCACCTCTAAAAAAAATTTATTGTAAACTATTGCAATTAAGCAAGCCTTAAAAATGTGTCAAATAATGTATACACTGGAAGTAGAAAATCGTATAAGATTTGGTAGTATAAACAATTCAAGAGAGCAAAGAAATTATTTCCATCATTTAAATGAAAACGACTTATGCTATTCAGACGTTGAAATTGAAGGAATTTCGTACAAAATAGGTGCAATCGTCGTCTTAAATATGAAAGAAAGCGAAATACAATTTGGCGAAATATTAAATATAACTTTTCATGAAAATGAAATTTATTTTCACGTCAATGATTTAGAAGTTACGTTCGATTTCCATTACCATGGATACATCGTCGACTCAACTTGTGAGAAAAAAACGATTAAGCATAATGATTTGCCAAAAATTGAACCTGCTATACTCATCACAATAAAAGGAACTAACTTCGTTGTAACAAAGTATGGTTTGTGAAGTGCTTTTATAGTACATATGTAATTTATCATAATAATTTTAATTACATTTTTCCCTTTTTATAAAATAAATATTATTAAAATTAAAAAAAAATGTATTTATATGTTTCATGCCATCATGTTATATGTTTCATTTGCCATCAAATTTTATTTTTGTTTTTCCCTGATTTCCAGACAAAATTTTCACTTTTTCCCTGACCCTGAAGAACATTAATAACTTCTTTTTTAAATAAATATTTATTCATTATTATTTTACTATAGAAATTAAGATTCTCAAATTCAATTACTTATGAGAATACTATAATAAAACATTAAAAAATTAAAGATGACAAAGTAATAAAATCATTATTTTATTTCATAAGAATATTGTAACTAAAAATTAAAATTTTCAAAAATTTTAATTTTAACCCTTTTCAAAATTCAATTATTTCTAAAAATTCACGCTATAATGTTTTTAATATTCAATTATAATTTAAAATTTTAAGTGAAATTCATTTTTTAATCGATTTTTATTAGAAAATTTCCCGCGAAAATTCAATTATTTAAATACAAAAATTAATAATTTATTCAGTAATTGCATGTTTTTTTAAAATTGAATTTTTATGAAGAATTTTATCAAAATTTTTAATAACAATTGAATTATTTCGACGAATTTAAAAAAAATTGTAAGAATAAATGCAATTTTCTATCATTTTATTTAAAATTTTATAAAAATAATTAAAATTCTGCAATAAGTTTTGTTATTTATTAAAAATAATTGAATTCTTGCAACGAATTTTGTTAAAAATCATTTTAAAGAATTGAATTCCTGTGAAAAATTTTATTTATAAAAATAATTGAATTCCAGAAAAAAATTTTATTATTTATGAAAATAATTACTTTCTTGTGAAGAATTTTATTCAAATTTTTTTAAATAATTGAATTTTCGCAGAAATTTAAAAAACTTTTTAAAAATAATTAAATTTCATTTAAAAATTTCATTAAAAAAATTGAAAATAATTGAAATCTGACAAAGAATTAAAAAAAAATTTTTTTTTTTTAATAATTGAATTCCTGTGAAAATGTTTATTTTTAAAAAATTGAATTCTTGGGAAATTTTATTAAAATTTCTTAAATAATTGAATTGCTTAATAGAATTTGATTTTTTACGAAAATAATTGAATTGTTTTGAAGAGTTTTACAAAAATTTTTGACAATAATTGTATTTCTAGAAAAAATGTATTTTACGAATATAATTGTATTCTATGACCGATTTTATTATAATTTTTTAAATTTATAAAAGATTTTATGAAAAGTTTTAAAAATAATTGAATTCTCAAGAAAGAAAATAATTGATTTCTAGCGAAGAACTTTATTCAAATTCTTTTAAATAATTGAATTCCCATAAAAAATGTATTATTTGTGAAAATAATGAATTCTTAAGAAGAAATGTATTGAAAACAATTGAATTGTATAGGAAAATTTTATTAAAATTGCAATTTAATAAACTAAATCTTGCAAAGAATTTTGTCAACATTTTTTTAAATAACACAATTATTAAAAGAATTTCATTTAAATTTTTCGAAATAATTGAATTTCTCAAAATATTTTTTTCGATTTTCTTTATATATTTGAATTCTTTCGAGAAACTTTATTAAAAAATTAAAAATAATTGAATTAATGTGAAGAAATTTATAAAAGAAATTGGTAAGTAATTGAATTCCTGTTAAATTTTTATTAAAATTTTGTTTAAATAATAGAATTGTTTTGGAAAAGTTTATTAAAATAGATATAAAAAATAAATGAAATGATTGAAATTTTGCCAAGAATTTTATTAAATTTTTTGAAAATAATTGAATTTTGGAGAAGAGTCTTATTATTTATAAAAATAATTGATATTTGACAAGAATTTACAAAAATTTTTGAACAGAATTGAATTTATGCGAATTTATTTAAAAGTTATTTAAAAAGAAATTATTGGCAAAAATAGAAAAAATTGAAGGGTTTGTATTAGAAGTCTTGGCAAGTTCATAGTTTTTAAGGCATACAAAAAAGACACCAAAATTCAGAATTTTCCTATAAATTCTAAAAATTTAATTTTTTCCAGTACTTTTAGTAAAAATCCCTGACTTTTCCCTGAATTCCTTAACTTGTGGCAACCCTGTTACACATACCTATAAATGTCCTAAAAAAATAAGAAATCTGACCTGGAATGTCCTGAAAATGTCCTGGAATTTTAAGTCATATTTTCAGTAGACACCCTGCATAATTTTTATGAATAATGATGCATAAATGAATGACTTATAATCGCCAAAAATTATTGTTTTATAATTCTTTAATAAAAAAATATACAAGATTTAAAAATTTTTTATTATTAAGAATTTTCCTTTTACAAATTTCATATTCAATTTAAAATTTGAGGTTATGTCTATTCTTTTTTATGTAAATTGTTTAATTTTAAATTAATTTTTTATATTTATAATTATATTTTCTAACTACTGTTTTATTTAAAATTATAAAATAAACGTTTTTTTAATTTCAATCTTTAAAACAATAAACTAAATAAATGAATAATAAGCGAAAAATATTTTCATTTTTGGAATGTCTACGGATTCACTGTATGTACCGCTGCGGTGCCTTGCATTGGAAACAGTAGCTATGTTCCCTACTTATGCGTGTCTGTAGTCTCAAAACAGAGACAGCGTTTGTGCTTAGCCTAGTGTACAAATGCTGTACTATAGACAAAACGTCTGCTGTGCAGAAATTTTTTCCGTGTACAATGAAATTCAAATAAGAACGAGAATAATTGTTGAGCGAACTTTTGGTGTGTAGAAACGAAGATTTCCATGTTTGGCGCGGGGAATGTCAACTAAACTCATTTGTTCAACAACGACTGTAGTAGCATGTGCTGTTTTGCATAATATGGCCTTACTTTTAAATGTTATATTACCAGAAGACGATGAGTTACATGAATATGAACAAGTTCTTGTACCTAATGTAGAAAATTTTAATATGGATGGAGAAGTAGCTCGTCAATTACTAGTTCACCGTTTATTTAATGGATTATAAGTATTCATGGCAAATGAATGATCATGCTTTTTTAAGAAGAATGTTTGATATAACATAACCTCAAATTTGGAAAATAGATTTTAAAGCCATCATAAATATAACAAAAATATTAAATTAATTTTTGTTTCCTTTTTTAATAAAAAGTTTTAGAATAATAAATTATATGTTTCAATAAAATATATAAAAGCATTTAATATTTTAAAAATAAAAACCATTGAGTCAAAATATTTTGTGTACATATTTTTTTTATTTCATAAACAATAAAATTACAAAAATAATGTATAAAATTTATTTATTATTTAACATTTTAATAATATTACTATATTATACTTAAAGAATACTACAACTACAATTATTATTTTTCAATAAAATCTTTTCTTCGCAAGAAATAACGTTAACAACATCTTTACAGCCTTACTTCATTTCACTTAAAATAATAATTTGCTAAACAATTTTGATTTCCAATATTAAATTAAATATAATATATAATATAATACATAATATAATAAAGTGTATGAATATAATTAAATATAAAAAATCTAAAAAATAAAATTCTGTATAATAAATTGTCTCTACTAAATTAGAAAATGCACACTTAATTAGTTAATACTGTTAATTATACTAACTTTGGAATAAATAAATTAAAATGATCTGAAATGAAGTTTTTTAAGAAGTAACACAAATTAAAAATTCAAAGCACATGAAATTAATCTTAGAATTTACTTTTACTTACTTCATTGCCTGTCCTCTTTCTGCATTAAACTCCACAAACGTTTAGTCTTTTTGTATGCTTCTTAAGGGGACTTTCTGGTTTAGAATTTCAAAAAAATCGATTTTTTTTGCTTAAAAATGTTCCTTAGTATCATAGAATTACTGTCCCAAAACGATTTTTAAAAAATATGTACAAAAACAAAAGTTATAACAATATTTATGACGGTATGTATTTCAACAACAATCTACAGTTATCTTATTTACATATTTGG